ATATGCAAAAAAAATTATTGCGCTAGCTTACGTGGTTGCAGTTCTACAGGGATTTAAAAATAATGGAGCATGCCCGCTCCGACGGGTTTTAAAGGGTTAAGCACCGGCACCATTTCAAAAGTACCGGTTTGGCACCGGTATCGGATAAAACCTAAACGATACCCATCCCTAGTCAGGACAACAACTGAGATAATCCATCCACAACACGAGGTTAGTCATTAATATACTGCAACAACATGGGAATAGAGCAGCTGCGAGAGCATTCAGCATGAATGAATCAATGGTACGGAAGTGGAGGAAGCGCCGTTTTTGGCTTTCCTCATATTCCAAAACGTGCTTCATCTCTTCGCTATTACTGTCGCCCAATTTGCAGACGATATTGCTTGCAGACGATATTGCTTGCAGACGATATTGCTTGCAGACGATATTGCTTGCAGAAGCTGCGATGCTTTCGACCAAAACAGGCGCAGCTTGATGACACCATCAACATGCGCTATCGCAGCAGGGCGGTATAGTCAAAACCTCTACCGTTGGCCAAATTACTGGCCAAACAGTACAAATTATACTGTTTATACCGCCCACCCCTACTGACACCATACCCTTATACAACTTACTTCACTCCTCACTAGGGCTGCCACGATTAGTCGACTAGTCACGATTACGTCAACTATCAAAATAATAGTTTGTGGCAGCCCTCCTCCTCACTAGACTACGGTTGTATATATAAAAAAAAAACTACTGTATTGTGAATGAGTCCCACACAATATTCCCTGCTCTGAACAGAACTCTCCCTGCAAATCCTGATCTGACCTTTGCACAACTGTAATTTCAACACAGACCTCAAATAGTGAGGAGAACCTTCAGCTAGCTCGCAGTAATGACTCAGGGTTCCAACAACAGTTTTCTATATTAGTATGAATCAACTGTGAATCAAGAAATCACTTAAAATAGAACTTGTCAGAAAAAGTGGTCTAAAAGCAACACTTCACACCATTATTTAAAGAAAAACAGATGAGAAACAAAGTTATTGACATCTATCAGTGTTGAAATTGCTACAAAGCCATTTTTGGGACTCCAGTGAACCACGGTTAGAGCCATTATCTACCTCTACCAATGGAGAAAACTTGGAACACTGGGGCAGCCTTCCCAGAGGGAGCCAGCCTACCAAAAGTACTCCACAAGTGCATCAACAACTCATCCAGGAAGTCACGAAACAACCCAGAACAACATCTAAAGAACTGCAGGTCTCCCTCGTCTCTGTTCAGGTCAGAGTTCATGATTCAACAATAAGGAGGAGCTCTCCCTTGGATGTCTCTAAGGAGAAAACCGCTGCTGACCAAAAGTCCAGCCTTAAACCTAATTGAAATGCTTTGGCATGACCTTAAACAGGCTGCTCATGCTTTAATAAACAAACCCTCCAATCTGGCTGAATCAAAACCATTCTTCAAAGAAGACTGGGCCTAAATCCCTTGCTTGGTAGCAGTTCTTGCTGCCCATGCGTAGCACAAGCAGTTATTAGCCTTTTCCACACAGGGTCAGGTAGGTAAAATTTGATTATCTGAAACATGTAGGTGTGTCAAATATGCAGAAAGATAAAAATAAAATAAATAAATTAAAAAAAACAGGAAGGGGGCAAATACTTTTTCAACAGCTCTATAAGCACCGCATACAGAATACGGCAAGGACTAAGCTGAGAATTACAGGATTTAAAGACATTAGACATGAGCCAGGATAGAAGCATGGAAAAGAGAGTCATCCATCATCTTACTTTTCTTCCAAAGTACTTTGTCCATTGCGACTGGGATCCTCCAAAAGTACTTTCTCCTCACCGGGGATGATCACATGGAGCCCCGTTTCCCTTTGTGGCCCTGTTTCAAAACAGAACAGCTCTTCAACAGATGGTATTTCCGAACGCAGTAAGCCAGTGCAGTCATCTTTGGTAAATGACTTTTGCTTTTTTTAAGACCAAAATCGGAATTTTATTGGAATGACACACAGCATCCAAGAGACACGAACACGCACAGCTGGTTGTAGTTGTGTGTTAGTCATGCACAGACCAGTTTTCAGACAGAAGACACAGAGGATAGTGAAAGTAAATGGGAGACACAAAAACAGAGTCATGTGACCATTCGTCATACACCTTGTAAATTTGAAACTAGCAAAGACTTCTCCATCTCTCCCAAATGAAACCACATACTTGTTCTGCAAAAACAAAGTCACATGAATGCCAACGTCTACCAAATGACAGATTTATTCAAAACTCATAATACAGCGTTTGGGACTTGAACACTTCAGCAGTGTAGAACAAATACACTGAAGGCGCCGTTTGCAGATAAGACATGGCCACGTGTGTGAACTGAATACAACATTTGAGCACACAGAGGACAATGTTGGCTAAAGACAGTTAGTCTCATCACCCTGCCTGTCCCACAGTTCGACTTAGTTTCTTAAACCACAGAATACACCTGTCACAAAATATAGCACATGATATAAGGACAGTGATATTCTTAGCTCAAATACTCATAGAAGATTGAATGGGTTTTTTTCCTTGCTCCAAGATGACTATTATTTACAGAAAGGGTCATTATGTGCTCTTTAGATTTCAAGTCCACTCTGACAGTATTCTGAGCTGAACGAGTAGTTCACATAGAAATGTTCCTGTATAATCATGATCTCTCTCTCTCTCTCTCTTGCTTGTTTTTCTTTTTAAACCCCTCAATGCTATCAAAACACAGAGGGTGAGCATTTACACCACGAATGAGCATTTACTTTACAGTAACACTGAATACTTAAGTCTACCTTTAGGATTATATCATACACACTCTAGGCAGACGACAAAAAGTACAGAATTTTAACAGTTTCTATCCCTCAACCCACCCACTGGCCTGTTACATGATTGTGCAAAAGAACTCAAACACTTCATGTCATAAATTCTGTGTAAACGTTGATACAGACCGAGAAAATTTCAAAAAGAAAACAAACGATTCTTCCAGGGATCATTTTGTAAACATCGGCATACAGAATAAAATATAAATAAATTTTTTAAAAAGGAGCATTTATACCAAATAATAAATACAAGAAGAAGAAGAAAAAAAGAGCAGTTCAAACTGTAACATGGACCAATATATTCTATGTCACTTACATTGCTTACTGTAAGAGGATGTCAGCCTGTACTTTTAATATCCAAGACTGGAAAAATACTTCTTCATAAAAATAGTCATTAACGCTAGATAGTATGGGAAGCCTCACAAGCCGGACGACGCGAAGGCAAGTCTCGGTAATGAGGCCACAGCAAAGGTGCTAGTTTGTTGCAACAAAAAAAAAAAAAGAAAGAAAGGAAGAAAGAAAGAAAAGGGGTGATGTTTTCAAATGGCATTGAACATCTTTGTGTGGGTCAAATTGTCAGAGCATACAACAAGAGCTACACCCAGAGTTATTAGTTTCATCTGTGATTTTATAACCATCCTCTCCTGTCTGAGAAGCCTGTCAAGCTTGTTGACGTTGAAAGCTAGTAAACATGGCTGACAAGCTGTTCTCCTGGAACATAACGCAACTTCATGACTCAAAGTTGGACGCAAGTAAATGCTTCTTCCCATAAATGAGTGAGATAAGAAAACTGATATCAATTCATGCTTGCAGGGTTAGAGCTGGAGCTGGAGTTGCAACATGTTTAGCCAAAACTAGCATAAAAACCTAGCACAACTTAAAAAAAACAAACAAAACTAGTTCTGTCAGTCAACAAGCACCAGTTAGTGCGCTAAAATTAACCTGCTTAATTTTGTTTATTAAAACTGTGACATTTAAAAAAGGTCCTAGCTGTTGGATTTATTACCGTTAGACAGAGGCCGACTAGTTCTTCTCGTTCTTTATGCTAAGCTTCAGAGTCATACTGAACGAGGGTGTTATCACTCTTCACACAGAACTTGGCAAGAAATGTAGTGAGTGCATTTCCCCAAATGGTAAGTTGTTTCTTTAACCTATGGGACACATATCCCCCATCAAACGAAGGCGTTCAATTTCTACTATAGGATTGTAACCGTTTTAGCTTGTAGCTCACAGACTGACGCCCTTTGCTTGTTTTATATGAAACCTTTTATTTCAATAATTCATTAACTTGAGTATTAAACCATTATATAAATGCAACCCTGTGATACGGACAGAAACATAACTAGACATTAAAGGGGACCAATTAAAATCCTATTCTTATTCCTTGACTCTACTAGAGTGTCTTTGCATGATTATTGCTCATAATAATCCTTATTTAGCTTATACTGGTCCTTTGTGTGGTCTTGACTTTAATCCAAGTTATTTTAGCTCCTCTCCCTTTTAAGCCACCAGATTTCTCCTTATTGGCTGTCTTTACAAACAGAAGATGTATCAAGAAGACCCCCCTCCTTATCGTCATACATCTCGACGTGTTGTTATGTATCCCGAAAAAAGAACAAATGACTGTCAAACTAAGCTTTTAGAGCACTCTGAATCCTGAAGCCTGAGATTTTGACTTGTATTTCAAAGTTGAAACTGTATATTTAAGAGAAAACTGGGAAAAGCATAATGGATCCACTTTAAGATCAGACTGAGGATCATGCCTTAGAGACTACACTAGGAGTAAACTATCAAAAGGAATAGTAATAAAAGTCACTTCTTCACTTTAAAAAAAAAATCAAAGGAAAACAAATTATGTCCAATTACTTAATGCCAGCGGTGGTATGTAGTCCTGCAGATAGTCTGTCCCCCCATCTGATACCAAAGAGCTAGAATTATATTTGCAATGGTCACAAGAGACGTACTAAAACTATCTGTACATCTGCATACTACTATAGGCAAGTCTGAAATTGAGTTTTTTGGTCATTTAGACGGTCAGAGCCTTATTATTTATCAGTCTTGGTAGAATGACTTTAATCAAATTAGTAACACCTTACTCAGAGAGTGAAGTGATAATCTTCTCTTTCTATTAGGTGCTGAATATTTAATTAAACCACTGAATATTCAGTTTGGACTGAACACACAAAAGCTATCTGGAATGTTAAATTTCATGCTGTCACGGGTTTGCAACACGGGTATAACTTCATGTTCTGAAAATTCTATTAAACGTCGATAATTTGGATATTGCATTTGCATGCCGTTATATTTTCAGACAGCAGGGGGATATGTGCCTGTACCTGTGTAGCATCTGTGCTATGTTTCAGCATACATACTCTAGAAACACATACTGGAGAGGAGTAGTACATGGTAATAGAATACAGTCGTTCCTGAAATACATCTGAATATCAGACAGGAAAAGCTCAGTCCCCATTTCTCCCACCCCTGGGTCTCCCTCCCACATATTCCACTCTGAAATCCCTGTACTCTCTCCTGAGAGCTTACCCCATTTATGTTCAAACCAGGGGAGTGGTCACATTCAAGATAAATTAACAATAAATTATCAAACACCTACTGCATGACAACTACAGAAAGAGAGGAGGCACATAAAAGGGGAAATGGCAAAGGCAACAGGGAGATGCCTGAAACATCTTCAAACAAACTGTCGAAAAATAAATAAAACAAATAAGTTAACAAAAAAATTGAAAAATCATAATAGAAAATAAATAGATAAATTAAAAAAATCTTTTTTTTTTTCAAACACATTGAAGAGAAAAAGAGGTAAGCGGGCTGTACTTCACTTCACAGCACAGCTTGGCAGTACTGTACGGTCTTCAGTTCTGGTGAGAGATGCAGCTCTTGCGTGGCACTGAGCCCATTCTGTAACTGTGGGTGGTCCAGATGGAGTCATAGTCTGAGTCCTCCGAAAGGTCAGAGGTCAGTTCTGGCCGGGACACGCTGCTACGGCGGCCCGGCGAATCCACGCAGGACTGGTCCACGTCGGCCAGCACGTGGTTGTGCATCAGGTCGGTGCCCTGCCAGGCTGGGTGGAGTGGGCGGGGTTGAGAGTGATGTTGCGAATGCAGGAGGAGGAAATGGTGGTCGAGGGAAGATGAGTGACGGCACAGGGAGGGAGGGAGGGAGGAAGGAGGAAGCATACGCAAACACGCAACAAATGGCAAATCATAAAACCAATGGAAGATGCAGGATGAGACGATGGATAAAATTATAGAAAAGCATCAAATAAAAGATGAGGAAAGGATAAACTCAAGGAAAATAATGCCAAAAGTAAAGGAATGGAGGAGAAACAGGAAGAAGAAGAGATATTGTTAGAGGGGTCAGTACAGAATAAAGTTAAAGAAAGGCACTGAGTACAGAATACAGATGCAGCTGCTACAAAGAGAGCAAGATCCAGTATGAACCTCTCTTCTTTCGTTTGTATATCTGCACGGGTAAGAGTTTGTTTTTTCTTACTAGAGTTAAGAGTCTGCCTGGTTTTGGCGCTGGTGCAGTATGCCTCGATAACTTTCAGGATTTGGGCGTCTTCTTCCAGAGCAGCTGTGCCTGAGAAAGAGACGGTGCCAGGAAAAAGCACATTTAATTCACATGCTAATGTCTTTGTTCTCTCACTATGAAAGAAATAGGAAGACTGATACCGCTTTCTTAGCCGTCTAGTGAGTAAAATGTAGGGAGAGAACAAGCTATTAGTTTAGCAGCACTGTTTAATCTATAAGAAAAAGGAGGTATTGACAACAATATGCAGTTTTCCATAGAGTCAGGCAGCAATTCAGCCATTTATTAAATGTCATACTATTACTTTTTATGGAGGCAAGAAAGACTCTAAGCATATGAAAATAAAAGACTTTACACATACTCTTCCTCAAGGCAAATTCCTCTTCAGACTGTTTCCGCTCGGGTTTGCGCTTGGGAAGAAGTTTCTTCACACTCTTAGGACTTTTACTAAGATCCTGCACATGAAGGGCAAAAGGTAGAATACTTTATAAACAGGCTATATTAATTTTTTAAAAAGGATCATTATTCATTTCACTAGCACATACATTTTCTTAGCATTAGGATTATATAGTTTTAACATAAGCAAATGGTAAATGGCCTGTATTTATATAGCACCTTACTAGTCCCTAAGGACTCCAAAGCGCTTTACATATCCAGTCATCCACCCATTCACACACTGGTGATGGCAGCTACATTCTAGCCACAGCCCCCCAAGGGCACATTGACAGAGGCGAGGCTACCGGGCCCTCTGACCACCACCAGTAGGCAACGGGTGAAGTGTCTTGTCCAAGGACACAACGACCGAGACTGTCCAAGCTGGGGCTCGAACCGGCAACCTTCCGATTACAAGGCGAACTCCCAACTCTTGAGCCACGATCGCCCCATAAGCAACGTAAATCAGCTTTACCTCCTTGTAACAGAGGGCGGCAGAGGGCCGTAGTGGGGGTGCAGGTCGCAGGCAGCTCAGGCTCCATGGTTTGGGGGTATTTGGTGGTTCCAGTGGGCCCCACATCATGGTGTTGTGAGGTGTCCCATGGGAGGATGGGTGAGGCAGGGTGTGGTAGGTAGGAGCCACTGTCAAGGCCCTGTTCTCACCATGTCGGGATGGGGTGAGAGGGTGAGATGGGAGCTGAGGGGGACGAGAAGCAACAAGGTGAGTTAGTTATACAATGAATATGTAGCTTGCAAAGAAGAACAATAACTGTATGGATTTACTCTTCATTTGTTTGGCACTTACAAAAAGGTGCTTTTGCTGTTTCATACATGAGAATAGCAAACAAGCGTCACAACAAAAAGCAATAAAAATACTAATGTTTAATTTTTACCCCTGTTCCAAATTATCTTCACATGCCTCAGTATCTATCAAGACAATTGTTTACAGTGCAGGACACCCAGGGCGTTCCAGATGTTTCTATAATGTGAGGCAATAAATGCAAGCCATGTTAATTTTCAGAGAATTTCTGGGGGTTATAAATTGAGGGGAGTTGATTTAAAAAAAAAGAACAATCAGGTCACGGTCAGAAGCAGATGAATAAGTGAAGGACCTCAGGTCACACATTGTGAGAGTTCAAAAGGATGGCGTGGGCTACAAAGGCCATGACCAAGCTATTGCAGATGCCTGCAGCCACAGCCCAGAGGATCAGTAATAGGTACAATTCCACACAGTCAAGGTCCAAAGGAATAAGTAGACTTGGGTCTAATAGTAAACCCAAGATGATGCCCCTTCTCACAAGAAAAGTGTTACGTCAGACCAACAGTAACCCACATGTCGCAACCAAGGCAAACCTACAGAAAACCGATTTCAAAACAGACACTGCTCTTCGGGAGCAGAGGTGTGGTGAAAGAAAGGTGAAGCGTTCAACCCAAAAACACATTCCCAGCAGTCAAACGCTGAGGTGTGAGTATAATGCACTGGAGTTTGTTTTTCAGCAAATGGGCCTGGAAACCTTGTAAAAGTTGGTGGAGTCATGAAATAGGACTATTATATCTAGATTCTCAATGAAAGCATAAGCCAGGCTACCGAAAAACTTGGACTTGAGCAGCAATGAACCTTCCAACAAGATAACGATTCAAAACACAGAGCCAAATTATTCAAGAAATGACAAAAAAAAATGGATTTGGAGTGACACACCCAGAGCTACGGCCTGAACACTACTGAGAATTTGTTGACAGAGCTACAGGTCATGAGAAGGAAGCCCTCAAACCTTAGGAACCTGGAGAAATTATCTAAAGAGGGGTGGGCATAAACATGGTTACTGTGGTCACAATTAAATAATCATGACACCAAACAACTGAGCAGGAAATGTGTAATTCATACTGGACTGAGCACTGCGGACTGAAAAATGTCACGAATAAATGTTCGGTTGATTGTGGGCACAAACTTAAAACACAAAATGCCTCTTCTGTCACAACAACCCTCTGCATGTCCTCTCCTTTACTACATCCACAAAGCTTCTCTGCAGAAAGTGTGTAGAAAGTTCTTTCCCTCCTGTTTGGTAGCTTCATATTCATATTTGAACCAGATATGGTATATCACGCTTCCATAGTGAGTGTCCAGAGATCTACTCCTGGTTGGACATGCTAAAACTCCACTACATACATCTGTGACACAGCCCTATGTATGGCATTTAACTCATTTCACAGTGGTGTCACCAACATGCACAGGGGTACACCAAAAATAAATTATATCAATTTGTTCTTTCCAA